GCCGGCGCTCGGGCGGCGCTTCTCTGCATGGCCTTGGCTCTTGCCTACTGCCCGCTTTAACCCTAGTGACGGCGCTTTATTAGATCCGAAGACCTTGGTCAGTTATTCTGCTTCGCTCCCCCCAAACTCCAGCCCCAAGAGGATTTAAAGAGAGCAGTTTGACACAGGAGGAGGTTGTAGTGCGAAGCAGCGGACTGAGCACGGGTAAAGTGGCCCACTGCACCTGGGGACAAACCTGAGGGAAAGGGGATCACGCTCGGTTTCAGAATTAGGAAAGGATAAGAAGAAATTTTTTATTTTTTAAGTATTCCCTTTCCGGAACAATTATCTTCCCTATTTCCACTACCCTTCAATTCAGATTGCAGTAATTCTTGCTTGAACAATCAATCGGGCGCAACCACCTGGTCTTCCCAGCTCTCTCAACTCCCTCATGTGGCTCCAGCAAACCCGCTGTGAAAACCTAAAGAACAACTGGGGACCTAAGTCAGTGCTGGAGCTTGCCAGAGGCCCTGAGGGTGATCCCCACCACAGCGCCAAAGGAAATGCGTGTGTGTGGTCTGGGTAATGAACCCAGGGGCCCTCTACCACCACGCCACATCCCCCCTTCCCACTGTCTGTCTTTCTCTTAATTTTGAGACAGGGTCTAAGTTGCCAAGGCTGTCCCTGAACTTGTGATCTTCCTGCCTCAGCCTTCTATATCTCTGAGATTAGATTACAAATGCCCGCCACCAGACTCTCAAAGAGAAAAATTCTTAATGTGGTTTGAAAGCTCTTCCAAAGCAAGACTGTCTCTTCATCTTCAGTGTCTTCTCTCATTACTTTTACAAAAGAGCCCAAACTCAAACTGCTTTAATTTACTACAATTCACTTTGCAATTAATCCTCCCCAAAATCCCCTCTCACATTCAGTTAGGCCCCAGGTAAAGTTTCTGTTTTTGTCTTTTTTCAGTTAAGTTTTCCCTTAAAATCTTGCTACACTGTCCAACAAAGTATGCCTCTTGTATGTAACATACTCCTACTACTTAATAGTATATTAAAGTACTCTACTAATTATAAAGAATAAAATATTGAGGATAAAGGATTAGATGAACCAATATTCAAAAAAATCTACTTTCCTTCGGAGGCTCATTGGGGGTTAAGACGTAAGGAAATCTGTTAACATAAGTAGACTTCAGTTCCAGTCCCAGACTCCATGAAGATTGATCAAGTTAGAGCCAATAAGAAGTGCAGCTCCGGAGGGGCTGGGGTTGTGGCTCAGAGATAGAGTGCTCACCTAGCTTGTGTGAGGCACTGGGTTCGATCCTCAGCACCATATAAAAATAAAGATGTTGTGTCCATGTATAACTAAAAAATAAATACTAAAAAAAAGAAGTGAAGGGAGGGTCATCATGGACTATACTCTTACAAAATAACCCACAAATGCAGATGGTTTCCCTCCCTAAAAAGCCAGTTAGGCCACTTGATCTCTATAAGGCCATTAAATGCACATGTTCTTGGGGATACTAAAACTCTGGGTGTCTCAAGAGGAGTCTAGAAGACACCTAGACATATAAAGAAATAAAATAGATTTGATTTCTTTCTTTTTTGGTCCTGGGGATTGAATTCAGGAGCACTTAACCACAGAATCACATTCCCAGTCTTTTTAAATATTTTGTTTAGAGACAGGGCTTCACTAAGTTGCTTAGGGCCTCGCTAAATTGCTGAGGCTGGCTTTGAACTCCTGATCCTCCTGCACCAGACTCCCAAACTGCTAGGATTACAAGTATGTACCACCTACCTGGAATAGATTTGATTTCTACTATTAGAACCTTAGGCTAATCAGTTAACTATCACTTTTGAGGGCTCAGAAACATTTGAAAGGGGTGAGGCATAGAAAAGATTTAGTGGAAGAAGATAACAGCACATAGAAGAAACAAATCTTCAGGGTCTGGGAAAGAATCACCAGAACAGGAGTACCACTTGGTGCTTCAATATACTTTCTCACTAAATCCTCATAACACATAATAAAGTAGATTATTTTATAATGAAACTTTTTTTTTCAGCACTGAGGATTGAATCCACAGATGTCTTACCACTGAGCTACATCCTCAATCCTTTAAAAAAATTTTTAAAATATTTAGACAGGGTCTTGCTAAATTGTGGAGGCTGCCTTTTAACTTACTATTCTCCTGTCTCAGATTCTGGAGTCATTGGATTTACAAGTGAGAGCCATGGTGCCTGATATATAACAAAATATTTTTATCATTATAGTTACCATTTTTGAGCGCTTACTATATGCTCACTTTTCTTGAACAATCTCACAACCCTAATACATTTAAAGGAGAGAAGTTAAACCTGTTCTAAGACAAACAGGTTTTAAGCAGTATAACCTGGATTTAAATCCAAATCTGTTTTCATTCCTAACCACTGTACTACACAGACTTTTATTGTTATCTTAGCCTGAAGGAAGTTATAATTTGGTTAAGGCCCGAAGCTAATAAATAGCAGACCTGGGGTTTCCCTCTATGCCTCCATGCTTTCCAAACCTACACACTTTAAACTCTATGGTCACTTAAGTAGGTGAGAATTTCAGGAGGCCAGAGCAATCTCCAGTGAAAGAATCACAAAGAATATCCAGACTATTTCATAACTTTGCCTTCCAGGGACTCTACTATATATACAAGGTCTCAGGCAAACCAGTAATTTACTTTTCACTATTCCTGACAGTCTATATCCTAGGGAACTCAAATTGAGCCAGAAATCACCTGACACTGAACTTTATTTATTCTGACCACCTGATACATTGTCCACCCTGCTGGGAAACAATGTTCAGGAGGGTCCCTGTCTATAGCAGACAAGAGACATGCCAAAATAAACAATGCACCTAGGACTCAATAACAGCCTGGGAGGACAGGTTTTGTGGCTGCTAGTCAACTGCCCAATCAGTTGTCTTCTTTCTTTTCAACTCTAAATGGGTGTTGATTCTTCAGTGGTTGTACTCTCAGACCAGTAACTGACTCTGGTATCCATAGCCTTGATTACAAAGAAACAAAAGTTTCCCAGTGTGTATGATAATCCAATTGCCTTTAATGGCCATGACTGAAATATGGGATGAGGGTGGGGTAGGTCAAAAATTTACTTGGGGATTTCCAGTAAACAGCAAACAAGGTCTGATAAACTGATTCCAACAGAGAAACCCTACAAAGTATGATTGGGGTTGCCCCAGAAACATTTTCCTAAGAGCTATTTGTGCTACACAACCAGTGCTGGGCAAGAAGGGGCTTGCTCCCTAGAGAACTCAATGTACACCCTACTTGTTCGGAGCCCATGGGGCTGCTGCTTCCCAAAGCTGCTAAAGCAAAAGAGTTACCCACCATCCAGCAGTATTCTTCTCTTGGCTTTCTATGAGACTCCAAGGAGGGCTGAAGACAGCAAGTAAGGTCAGAGAAGTAGAGAAAACAAAGCTTAACTACCTGGTCTTCTCTGCTATTCTAGTTTCAGCCACCTGGGGGCCCCTGGCTCCAGAAAATCAGGCACCAGGCCCTGGCTTTGCTCCCAGGGAAGGACTGGGAAGCCCATGCCCAGCAAGCCTGGGGGCAGCTCTGTTTCCCCAGCACCTGAGGGCTGGCCAGTGCACCACAGAGTCTCAGGTTTCAGGGGGGATGGCAGTTGCCTGTCTAAAGGCTTCTCTGTTCCTTGGAATTGTACAGAGTGTCTCTTGTGGCTTTTCCTCCTCCCTCCTTTTTTCCTGTTGACTCTCCCCATCTGGCTCTATGAATCACTAGACTCCACAGGAAAGCAGCAGATGTTGACTTTACATCTTGCAAGCCAATGCCAGCTCCCTCCTGTGGAGTGGGGAATAGGCAGGAAGGTGAGAGATTGGAGGAATGGAGGAGGATAACACTCATCCTTTCCAGGATAAAGGGTTCTGGAAGGAGAGAGACCTAGGCAAAAAATTCTTTTGTTTCTGGTGGTGATGGGTGGGAGGAACAGAGACCCCAGGATTGGCTGTGGAACTGGGATCATGAGGAATAGGGAAGCACAGGGTGGGAGTGTTGCTAGTTCTTGTGCCAGCCTTTTTTTTTTTTTTTTTTCTTTTGAGGTAAAGCTTCATCTCTTGCCAGTAACATTCTCAGGACTCAAAAGTCAAGTCAAGCTGCAGGTCTGGGGAGTTAGTCCAGAAGCATCTTCTTGTCCCCTCTGAGCCTCCAAACCTCTCCTCTGACGCAAGTCTCTTGAAGAAGCTGCCAGGGAGGACTTTCTAGAGCCTTATTTTACATTCATTGCTCCAGCTTCTCTCCTCTTTTTTCTTCCTCAGGGATTTTCTTACGTGCAAAGAAGCCAAGCTGTAGAGGAAAAGATAAGAGGCACTGCCAGATGCCCTTACTGGGGACCTTGCCAATAGCCCTCAGACTTATCTGAGGTTTTCACTTTTGCTCTGCTTCCAAAAACAGGATTCAATTTTATTTTAATTGGCTTAGTTTAATCCAACCAACATTTGTGGAGTACAGTGAAGATCTGGGCATTAAACCTACAGCCTGTTTAGCTGCCCAATACAAATCCTATTCTCCCTGTTATAGTCTAGGATCCCTCAGCTGGTGGGCACCAGGTTCCCCACTCCCCACTAAGCAGTGCTCACCTTCCATAGACAGAAGACAAGGAGAGCAAGCAGGAGCAGCCCTCCCAGGGCACTGCCAATGAGGATCCACAAGGAGACGAGGACGGGGTGGATCTGAATCACCTCCAGGAGGCTCTATGTGAGGGTTAGAGTTGGTTTTTACATGTGCCCTTTAACCCCACCAGCCACCACCCCCCCCACATTATAACAATGCCAGCCTCAAAATAGAATAAGGAGATTCTTTCTACTCAAAGGAGAAAAATTGAGATAGGAATGGAGGCAGAGGAACCCTAGAATCCTCATTTATCATTCCTGACTAAAAGGTCACAAGTATTCTATCCCACTGGGGACTGAACTCAGGGCCTGGGGCATGCGAAGCCAGCACTCTACCAATTGAGCTACATTCCCATCCCCCATCACCATTATTTTCAAATCTGCCAAACTCAGTCTCTAGTCTTACCTCACTCCAACGGGACGCTTCAGTTAGCTGTAGGACACTGCCTTTCTCAGTTCCCAGCTCAAAGGTACTGACCACTATCACAGACTTGAACTTGGCCTGTGGAACAAGTGGATGGGAAGGCATTTAAAGTGAGCCATCATCAGGTAGTGTGGTGCAAGAACAATGTCTAGCCTGAGTGGTACAACTCCAGGGCCCTTGAGACCAGAAGAGGTGGAGGCCAATGGGAAAAGAGAGGAAGGGAAATAGATAGAAGCCTCTGGACCTTCAAATGTGCTATTTATCTGAAATGCATTCTACTCTCCTTTCATTTACCCACCCCTCTGGGAATTAGGAAAGTGTTTCCTCCTAACTAAGGTATTATGGTTTTGATAAATTTTGATATATTTCTCAACAAGTCTTCATGTGTTGAAATTCAATCCCTGTTGTGAGATTAAGAGGGAAGAAACTTTATCCATCTATGGTTTTTAGAAATGAGCCCTTTGGGATATGATTAAGATTAAAGTCATTAGGATGGAGCCCCTCTTGAAATGAATCTCAGTGGCTTTATAAAAAGAGAGACCAGATGACATGTTTGTATGCTCCTGCCATGACGTGACATAGCCAAGAGGGAGCTCACGAGAGCTGAGCACATGCCAGTCACATGTTCCTAAACCTAACATACCTGGTGTTTACTTTTTCCACTGAACTATAAGACCCTTGAGGTTAAGATTTGTGTTTCACTAACCATTGTGTCTCCAATGCCTAGTGCCTACCACAGTGCCAAGTATGTAGCAGTTTCTTAATAAATCCTTGTTAAGAATAAATAAAAGAGTAAAAAAAAAATATCAAAGAAGGATAAAGTGAGAACCAGACATGGAGACATGTGGTTTGATAGACTTCCTCCAAACGTGTACCTACATCCCTGGGATCTGGTATTATTCAAAGTAGGTGGTATATGGAAATATACAGGGGCTAGGGTTGTGGCTCAGTGGTAGAGCACTTGCCTTGCAAATGTGAGGCACTGGGTTCAATTCTCAGCACTGCATATAAATAAATGAATAAAATAAAGGTCTGTCAACAACTAAATAAATAAATAAATAAAATATACAATATAAAAAACTTCTAGTGCTACATAGCTATTTATAATTAAGATGTCATTTCTGGGGCATGGGGTTGTGGCTCAGTGGTAGAGAACTCGCCTCACACATGTGACACTATGGGTTTGTTTGATCCTTAGCACCACATATAAATAAATAAATAAAGGTATTGTGTCAACTACAACATATATATATATATAAAATCTTACTTCCCTCACTACCCCCCAAATACAAGTCCTACATGTAAAAATAATTATTTTTATCCATTCATTTAACAAAAATGTAGTAAGTACCTACAATGAGTTAGGCATGATGATAAATGTTGGGGACATTATCCTCAGTGTTGACTGACCTAATACCAATCTTTTACATAATAAGCATTCGATGGATTATTAACTGATGAAGTTTAGGTGTCCTATAAATGTTGATTGATTATTAATACAGCAATAAAAGATGATAAAGGAAAATAGAAAAATAATAACTAGGTTTACTGAGTGTTCAGCGTACGTCCAGCTCACTATTTTTTTTTATTTACAAAAACTCCATAAAATAGACACTATCCCATTTTACTTTAAAGATCAGTGAAAAGAAGCTCATGGTCAAATAGCTAGTAATAGGCAACAGTAAAATTTGAACATGGTTCTGTCGACTTCCAAAACCTATATTAATGTCATAGATAGGAGTACAAAGGGAGACTAATAGGAAAGGGAAGTATTACCCTCCGGAAAAATTCATTGTGAACCAGCCTCAGGAGTCCAACAGAGACCTCGGTCCCCTTTGCCAGCTGCCCAAGGTGGCACCTCACAACTTGACACCAAGTATTGCTGACATTCTACCAGAAAAGAAAGACAGATCAGGGTCCCAGAGGAGAAAGAACCCTCTTCCCACATGTACCACCCACGCATGCATGAGTGCACTCATACACGCACATGCACACACACGCGCACACACACACACACACACACACACACACACACACACCTCCATCACAGGTAACTGACTCTATTTGTACTCCTGCTCTGGTTACTCTCTTGTGACTCATACCAGCCTGTTTGTGTGTCGAAGCTCCTCTGGATGCACAGGGGGGCCTGGGGGCTTGGTCAGGTTCTGCACTGTGCAGCTTGCCTGCAGAGGAAGATTCACCCTCAAAGACCTGCTGCTAAGGGAGGCCAGGTGGAGCAGGGTACTTCCCACATTCTTATGGTCTGTCTATGTAAAACCCCTTTCTTTCCTCTCAAAGGAGCCACACACGTAAAAGAAATGTCCCCAGGAAGTAGAGCTCTGAGGGTGCTGGGCCAACAGACAGGGAGCTGGTATGGTATCCAGCTTCAATGAGTCCATCAGCTCCAGATGACAGGATTCCGCAGGCTCCAGCCCAGACTCACATTGTTAGTGATGACTTGAGATAGTGACAGGAAGTAATTGCCTCCCTGGGCTACAGCTGGAAGAAGAGCTGAGATGATGAGGCCACTGACCACGTAACAGCCAAGGTTCTGAACCTGAGAGGAAGATTGTAAACAAGAAGAGGTGGGAGACAGAAGACCCTTCCTCATTGGTTTCCCTTCACCCTAGACACCATTAAAATCCAAGAGAGTCTCTGACTGTCCTTTTCCCACAGTTTCCCTTTCCCACAGTTATTGTCCTCCCCACTCCCTGCCCCTGTCATGGCAAGGCCCCTCCAGCTTCTCACCCTAAGAGTAGTTTTGAATTCAGGGCCAGGACCCACTGGGAGGGTCCTATAGGGGTGAACCTCATAGCGGTGCAGGGTGGACTCACTGTGTGGACAAGTCAGGAGATACAAGGTCACCGCCAAGACAGACACAGGGGCACATGATCAGCACACAGGCATGGACTCAGAGAAATAGGGCCAGCACATGGATAAAGTGATGGGGGTACGTGGAGAATAGAGAAGCAAAACATGACATAGATGCGAAACAAATTTTATAGCCACATCCTATATCCCCTCATCCCAGGGGAAATGCAAAGTCTTATACCTAGAAAAGTAAGATGCTTAAAAGAGAAATTTCCTTATGGGTGAGAGCGAGGACAAAAAGAATGAGTAGCCCCAAGGTTTTGTGTTTCTGGGAACACTGAAGCATGTGGAAGGAGAGGGAAGAAACATGAGTCTGGCATAGGAACTGAGTCCCAGCTAGGACCGGGCCATACCTAGAGAATAGGAGATGAGGCTCATACTGGATGTAGGCAGAGGTCTGGGCTGTGTTATCTTGAAGGGTTCCATTTGTTTCCAGGCTACTGCTGTGGGGTCAGAGGGGGGAGGAAGGGCTCACATCCCAATCCCTCCTCAGATGTCCCTCCATGCTAGTAGAAGAGTCAGGGCTGTTCCTCTCCCCAACCCCCAACTCAATACCAAAAGAAGAGAGCTGGGAAGAAGTTCCCTTTGTTCTCACCTACTGGCATTCAACCTCACCAAGATCTGGCTCAGGAGTGAGGAGCAGCTAAACTCAAACTCAAGCAGAAAGGTCACCTGGGGGCAGGGGACATTGTTAAGGTACATTCTTCTTCAAAGAACAACAACGGAGGAACAGGAATTCTTGTGTACCTCCTCCCCTGACTTCCCAGACCCCACAGATTACAGTCTCTGTTTTTCCTGAACCCCTTCCTCAGCCTGGGCCCCAACTCACCTTGGCTCCAGTCTGGAAGACAGGATGCCCCACACTGCAGAGCCGGGCATTAGGGGAAGGAGCTGCACATTCCACCTTTACTGAGCTGTCCCTCTGAGGGCAGAGGAATAGGGGTGGAGGCTGGGGCTGGGCCTACAACTGTTCCCCTACCCACAGCCTCCCTCTAGCCACTAACCACTGAACATTTCTCCAGAGCACCTCGCAGTCAAAGCCAGTACCCCAATCTTCTTCCTCCTCCTTTCTCCCCTCCTCCCCTAACCCCTTCCTCCAAAGGCACCTGAGTAGTGAGACTGGCTAGGTGGAGGTTTCTAGAAAAGCTGAGACTCAGGCTAGTGTTGTAGGCATTTTCCTTCCTGTTTTCCAAAGTTGCTGATACCAGCACTTTCCTCCGGCCACCTCGAACCACAAATGGGGCCTTCCTGGGAGTGGTAGACAAGGGAGAGACCAGGAATTGAAGGAGCACCAAAATCTCACTTCTGTTATCCTTGTAAGAAACAAATCCCCAACTCCCTTTGAGTTCCTTCCCGTCTTTCTCAGATCACCCTGGTTTGCCCAGCTCATGTCTATCAACCTGGAGCCTCTGATGTCCATATTAGCTTGAAGCACCAGGTCTGTGATGCATTCATTGTCAGAGCCACAGTCTTTGGAGAAGGGGACCTGGAAGAGAGAAAAGGTCCTCAGGGATGAGAGGAAGGCAAGGAGAAAGGCATGTTCTTCGGGGAAAGCAGAAAGAGAAGAATGAATATACTTCCATTAGAGGGGTCTATGTCAGCTTTCAGCATAAAAATCTCATGTTTCCCCCTCCCCTTCCTCTTGAATTCACTGGGAGAGCAGTGTTGAGACCCACGGGTAGGGCAGGGCTTGGCACTGCTAACCAATTTTCGTATAGAGGTGGGTGAACCTTCATCCAGCACAGGCCCTGGCTTTGTGGTGTTGTCCAAGGCAAAGGTCACAGTCAAGGCCACTGGCCGGAGATAATCTGATGTATCCTGAAGGAAACCAGAGTTAAGGATTATGGGAGCCAGAGTTAGGTATGAAACCCAGGCCCATGGAAGAATATGATAATTATAGTGATCATTCAGGAAGCACTTTCTGTGTGCTGGGTACTATCTTGAGGTTTTACCAATACTATTTTGTTTTGTTTTGTTTTGTTTTTGCAGTGCAAGGGCTTAAACCCAAGGTCTTGATAGTACTGGGTTCTACCACTGAGCTATATCCTTAGGCCCTGATCAATACTCTTAAATTTGATTTTAATACAACTCATATGATATAGTTATTATTATCACTACTCTGCAGACAAGAAAACTGAGATTTGGAAGAGAGTGGCTTGCCAGAATTCATGGTAGTAAATGGCAGAGGAATCAAACTCAGATTAACCTGATCCCAGAGCCTGAATTGTCTTACTTTCCCTGTTTTAGCTTTCTTGCTGATCCAGTTGAAATTCCTCCTCTGACCCAGCCTTTTCCTAGCTCTAAGACATTAATGCAAAGTAGTTCCTGCCCCTTTCTCACCAACACATGAAAGTGCAGCTGCTCACAAGTGACATTCCCCACGCTGAGCTGGAGCTGCCGAGGGGGCATCCTCTGACCAGAGCCATCAAATGCTGCACGTGCCCCTACCATCCACTCATCTATTGTTGCTGTGAAGTGCACATCTAAATGAGAAGGGCAAAAGTGAGGGTAAAGAGGAGTTCAGAGACCAAGGCAGGCAAGGGTTGAAGTTTGCACTCACAGAATTGGTGATCCCAGCGTCCAGGTGTGCGGGAGGTCACTTGGAAGCAAAGGGCTGCAGTCAAGCATGCTGCCTCCTGGCCTCGCCGCCTACAGTCCCTCTGGACCACACTGATGGCAGGTGGGGTCACCTCCAGTGATGGGGCCAAGTAGACAATGGGCCGGGAGCTAGGAACAGGGTAGACACGAAATTCCAGAAAGAGGAGGTAAGCCCTTTAAGAAGTGCTACCCAGTGTTTGCCTCCCCCTCGTTAAAATAAAAATGTGGGGCTGGATGCACAGTGTCACCCTTCCCTGAACTCTATGACAGAAGTCACATGATAGATTTAATTCAATAAGCACTAACGGTGCTTAAAACTTAACATGGATGATCCCATGTGATCCTTACAATAAACCAAAAAGGCAGGCAGCATGCTTATAAACTAGGAATGGAGGCACAGAAAAAGTTGTTCCAGAAACCCAAATCTAAGCCCTTTATCTTAACAGATGTGCTGTGCTGTCCACCGCTACCTGAGTTGGGGCTCCTCACCTGAGCAGGATGGCTGTCCCCTGAGCACCCACAGCCACATCTACTAGATCATCTCCATCCAGATCTAGCCGGCCATCCACACTTCGGCCAAAGTAGCTAAGGGTCTGTGGCATGGTGACAGCAGCAATTCTCTTAAGAGAAAGAGAGGGAGAAAGATTGAGGCAGAGACTCATACATCTGGATTCTCAATCCTCCTGCCAAGTTCCTTCCTGTCCAATAGGGGAATAAGAGAAACTTGTCTGTGTTTAGCAGTCCCTTGGTTCAGAAACCTGCATCCCACTGCATTACCTCACTGTTTTACCTACTGATTAAGCACTTGTTTGGTTTGAGACTCAAGCAAGGAGACTACAGATAAGCAAACAGCATACCTCCCTCGTGCTTATACCACTGTATCCCTGCTCATCTGGGCATTTCTGACCTGGGCAGGATGGGGCCTGACTCCTCTCTGGGTTCCATGGTACAGGTATAGTGCTCCCTGGTGCCCATCCTCCAGGGGTGCCCCTACAGCCACATCAGCAAACCCATCTTGGTTCAGATCAGGAAGAGCACCCATGGCAAAGCCAAACCGAGCATCCTGGGGAGGTTCTGGCTGAAGGATTCCTTGGAGTGTTAGCAAAGTCTGCTGGTGGAGGTGAGAACAAGATAGAAGATAAAAATCTGGTTGCCCCAACCTCTCAGCAAACCCATCCATCCCCCAACCCTGACAAATCCCAGGGGGTTCCAGCAAGTCTCACCTGGCCCACCAGATACACATAAACACGTCCTGTCTCCTTGTTCTGGGGTCCCAGGAACATGGGGGCAGCCACAAGTAAAATATCAGTTGTCCCATCCCTATCTGTATCCAATGGGCAAAGCTCACTGCCAAAGTATGAACCAATCTGGAGAGTGGTAGGTAGTGATGACCCCAGAAAAAAGAGAGTGTGGATAAATGGACTCAGTGGGATGTACTCACCAGTCTGCCAATCTGGCTCTTATATTCCTGACATTCTGATAATCAGAATTTGGAGACATTTTCTTTTTCAGTAGTGGGGATTGAATTCTAGGGCCTTATGCATGCCAGGCAAGCACTCTACCACTGAGCCACATCCCTAGCCTAGCATAGAATTTCTGGGCCTCTCTCCTGCCCTATCTCATTCTTTTCCATCAGTCTGGAAGTCCCTGAAGATCTAAGGGCCCCACCCTCACTTGATACTCTACCTGCTCCCCCTGGAGGCTCTGGGCGACCCTCACAGCCCCATCTTTCTTAAGTTGGAAGGCGATGACTTTTCCTCGATGTTTAAACCTAGGAGCCCCTGAGAGAAAGAGGCGGCGTCCACCCCGCAAAAGCATGGAGGAAACAGAGTAACCTAGAAGCAGGTAAGGCATCAGAGGTAGAAGGGAAAGAAGATGAGATCAGGGTGGGGCTCCCTAAGGGCACAAGAGGAGGCCCCAAGGGAACCAGAAAGAGACTCCGCTCGAAGCTACATGAATTAAGAGAGAGCACCTCATACCCCACACTAGGAACGCATTCTTTCCTCCCACTCGCCCATTCCTGCAACTTCCTGCTACTCACCCAGGTAGGCTGCATGGTTCTGCAGAGCAGAGGGAAATTCATCTTCCAGGGCTGTTCGTGGGGGGAAAAGGCGATGACCTTCTTCAAGCCATAGCACTGAGCCTCCCCAGTCATAGGCCCCCACCATCCCAAAGAGAATCCCATCCTGTGGGGTTAGAACCAGAAGGGGTCACTGAAAAGACAGCGGGGAATAAGGAGTAAATAAAAAGAGAATCACTACAGGTCTGCTATAGTCACTTAGAAAGGCACTGAGGCTCAGCATGGAGGCTGGTTAGAGTGGGAATCTAGAAGGGACAAGGGTTGAAGTTGTCTGAATCAGTAGCTGGAAGGAGTCATTGAGGAGGTCAGAGGCTGGGAGATGTCATGCAGGGGTCAGAGTCTGTCCAACCTTTAGTCGATGAGTGGAGAAACCAATCTGAGACATTTCCAGCCCAAAGGAACTTTCATTTTCTCCATGAGACCCTTGGACATGAGAAAATATCAATGCACTATCAAGGTAAGACAATTCTCTCTTTGACCTACTGAATTTACTCAACTATATTCCAGAATTCCCCCATTCTTTCCTTCATTTCTCCAGGGTAATCATTACCCTCAAGGCCAAAAATTCGGTCTCCTAGTGCATCTACAATGTCAGTCAGTGCAGCCTCATCAGTAACATTGAAGAAGAATCGCTCGTCGGGATCACTGGCAATAGCTCGAATTTCCCGTAGGAAAGAGCTGGGATCTCGCTGACGCCGAAGGTAGTGACCAAGGACCTGAGGTCAGGAGATCAAGATGGCATCTATTAGATGTGTTAGAGCTCATAGAGAACATAGTCAACTAAAGTGAAGGAAGGGAAATGTGGCTGATGTCCAGGAAGTAGATAATACCCCATTTTCTTCAAGTTCCTAGTCCTCAGAGTCTTCCCCTGCCAACCCTTCTAGATCCAGAGTCAATTCTCACCGCAATCCCATAGCGTGTCACTCTTCCAGCCTCACAGGCCTTTAGTGCTGCTGGAAGCTCCTCTCCATCATGTGATTCTCCATCAGTGACAACCACCAGTAGCCTGGCAGCCTCTGATCGGCCTCCCCGGGATTGACTGAACCCTTCTGTGCTAAGAAGAGGGAGAAAAGAATGAAGTATGATCAGATATATCATACATACAGGATTTAACAATGTCAGCAGCTCACTGAGATCAATCATCTTGCCTTTTAGGCCATTTCCCAAAAGTAACTTTGGGATTAGCATACACTTAGAACTCAAATGTACAAATGCCATAGAATATATATTCAGTTCAAATAAAGCACAAAATTTATCCAAAATATTGCATTTTGGAAGACAAATATTAAGGAAATGCAGAATAAAGAATGGTTGTAATCCCAATGGCTCAGGAGACTGAGGCAGGAGGATCACAAGTTCAAGGTCAGCCTCAGCAATTTAGTAAAGCCCTAAGCAATTTAGTGAGACTGTGTCTCAAAAAGAGGGCTGGAATGTGGCTCAGTGGTTGAGTGACCCTGGGTTCAATCAGAAGAAGAAGAAGGAGGAGGAGGAGGAGGAGGA